CCACTGAAAAACATCCCCACAGCATGATGCTGCCACCACCATGCTTCACTGTAGGGATGGTATTGGCCAGGTGATGAGCGGTGCCTGGTGTCCGCTTGGCATTCACACCAAAGAGTTCAATCTTTGTCTCATCAGACCAGAGAATTTTGTTTCTCATGGTCTGAGAGTCTTTCAGGTGCCTTTTGGCAAACTCCAGGCGGGCTGCCATGTGCCTTTTACTAAGGAGTGGCTTCCATCTGGCCACTCTACCATACAGGCCTGACTGGTGGAGTGCTGCAGCGATGGTCGTCCTTCTGGAAGGTTCTCCTCTCTCCACAGAGGAACCCTGGAGCTCTGTCAGGGTGACCATCAGGTTATTGGTCACCTCCCTAACTAAAGCCCTTCTCCCCCGATCACTCAGTTTAGAGGGACGGCCAGCTCTAGGAAGAGTCCTGGTGGTTCCAAACTTCTTCTATTTATGGATGATAAATGTGCTCATTGGGACCTTTAAAGCAGCAGACATTTTTCTGTACCCTTCCCCAGATCTGTGCCTTGAGACAATCCTGTGTCTGAGGTCTACAGACAATTCCTTCGACTTCATGCTTGTTTTGTGGTCTGACATGCACTGTTAACTGTGGGACCTTATATAGACAGGTGTGTGCCTTTCCAAATCCTGTCCAATCAACTGAATTTACCACAGGTGGACTCCAATTAAGCTGCAGAAACATCTCAAGGATGATCAGTGGAAACAGAATGCACCTGAGCTCAATTTTGAGCTTGATTGTAAAGGCTTTCTTTGTTTTTTATTTTTAATAAAAATGCAAAAAAACCTTTTTAAAGTTGTCATTATGGGGTATTATGCACTGTATATATATATATATATATATATATGATTGATCTGTTCTTAATAAAAACATATTGATATGATTCAGTTTCACTTCCTGTCAATATCTTTATAAATGTCCATAAATCCTTTTAGAAATCAGACAGGAAACAATCAGCTGCTTTTAACCAGTCAGACGTTTTATTTTACAGAAAAACTGAATGGAGTTTGGTTTGGTGGAGGAGAACTACAGACCACCAACTGATACTTCTGATGCTTTATTATTACTATCACCCACCCCGGTACAGTACCGGTACAGTACCTGAATTCTTATTCAGCTTCATTTAAATGAAGGAATTTATATGATATATAATCATTCATTGTCATCGTATACTCATTGAAGTTTTACTGCTGCCGGTCTGATTTATAGAAACACTGTTGGACTTATGTGAGCTTATTAGGGCCTATTTCCCGTTATTAATGAGTAACAAAATAAAAGCATACAAAAAGAGATGCACAAAGCCAAAGGTTTGATTGTAAAGGTTGTGTATACATACAAATATTAGTATGTTTATTGATTATTTTCCTCCGATCAGCTGGTCAACATAAAGCTGCTGATTCAGAGGACGGTGGACGGATCCCCTCAGAGCAGAAAGTGAAACTGAATCTGAACACAAACAGACAAACAGATCGTCAGCTGCTGTTTGAGGTGTCGCCCAAAACCATTGTTCTTAAACACACACACACACACACACACACACACACAGTCGGCAAGTCTGCATTCACATTAGCAATTCAACCCTAATCAAACGGTAATGTTAAAGCTCAGTGCACAAATTCAGATGTAAATGCTTCGGCCTGACACAGACGTTGGTTAAATCAACTTATTGTTCTGTAGACGGAAACAAGAGAGTCAGGATCCATCTGTAGTTCGTCCTGAGCTTCAGCCTTTCTACACCCTTTAAGACCTTCATCAGTTCAATTTAAAACCTTCTCTCTGTCCAAACTGGGAAAAACACATGAAGGAAAAAACCCAGGAGGTCTCCGGAGGAACGAGTAGGGAATCGAACATTAGCCACTCTGTAAGTTAAAGAGGATTTATCGGCTGAATTACGGTTTATGTGACAGTAGAACTATACGGGCTTCGTCTTCTCGCCTCAGGATGAAAACCAAACCAAATAATAACAACTGTATGTGACATCACATATGTGGGCGGGGCAAACATCGGTTTTCATCATAGGGTCATAAAGTCAGAGCTAACTGCACGTTTGGTAACTAATGCAACAAAATCAATAAAACGTGTTCATATTTATATTTAGTGTTAATTCATAATGATGATCAGGAACAATGTGAAACTCTATGTGTGTATGTGTCATATATGTTCTTACATTACATCATCTAATGATAAGAAGTCAAATCACCTCAATGTTCAGACGAAGGTTTTGTTACGCTTCCGTAGAATAAACCGTCTTTAATCTTTAAATAGGAAGTTAACATCTTACAGAAATGTGTTTGGCCAATGATTTTAATTTGTGGCAAGAAAAACTGTGTGTAATTCAGATATTATATTTAATAACAGATATTTAAACTGTTAATACATTTATAAAATTATATAAAATTAGTGACATTAACAGTCAAAAGTATAGGTTGTATAACTTTAATGTATTAGTTAGTTAACTGACAGATATGTTGTATAATGATGGAAGTTGAATAAATGTTGTTTATCAGTGTATAAGGTAAACTGTCCAAATACAGTTGTTATCAGTGTAAACAGCAATAATTACTGTAATCTCACAGATAATGACTTTTATTACACTTCTATAACTTTTAACATTCACATTAAAATAATAACAATCCAATAATAACAGCACTCTGCTGTAAATGTAAGTCTGATTATTGTATTATAGCAGAGTTCACCTGGATTTATAGATCATTGTTTACACTGATCACAGTTTGGTTTTAGTTCTTTTACCTTTAATCCAACAGTCAGTGAGTCTGAAACTCTTATCTGTTCATTAAAGACAGACTGAACCTGTGTGTGTGTGTGTGTGTGTGTGTGTGTGTGTGTGTGTGTGTGTGTGTGTGTGTAAGTGTGTGTGTGTGTGTGTGTGTGTGTGTGTAAGTGTGTGTGTGTGTGTGTGTGTGTGTGTGTGTGATCATCAGCATTAAATCCTCAGGCTCTAATCTGCCTGAGGGGAGCAATTCACCCTAATCTCATTCAAATTAACCCCCCACATGCATGTGAATGTGTGTGTGTGTGTGCGTGTGTGTGTGTGTGTGTGTGTGTGTGAGACACACAGCACAGTAGCCAATCAGCTCGTCGGTGGGCGGGGCAGCAGAGTATAAATTTCCCAGGTGAGCAGCAGCAGGTGTAGAGAGCAGCACATGTGCAGGAGGACACACACAAAGGACCTGAGGACGAGACAGGAAGTGAAGACGAGACAGGAAGTGAGGTTTCCATCATGGCGTCCTTTGTGCCAGAGCAGGGTCTGTCGCCCCCCCTGTGTGGTCGCTCTCTCCCCCAGCAGGAGCCTCTGTCTCTGGGCCTCGACCCGTCTGACTTCAGCCTGTACAGCCCTCCAGCTCCTCCTGAACCCGGCCTGTCTGCGTCTCCGTGGCTCCCGCCGTCCACCAGCGACCCCTACCCGCTGGGTCCCGCCTCTGGGGGCCCCTACCCGCTGGGCCCCGCCTCTGGGGGCCCCTACCCGCTGGGCCCCGTCTCCGGACTCCTCCCCTCTGTGTTCGGAGGCTTCTTCCCTCATCACCTCTACAGCGGGCCCTGGTTCTCCACGTCCATCCCGGACGACATGCTGCGCATGGTGCGCCCACCGTACTCCTACTCCGCCCTCATCGCCATGGCGATACAGAGCGCGCCCGAGCAGCGCCTGACGCTCAGCCAGATCTACCAGTACGTCTCCGACAACTTCTCCTTCTACAGCCGCAACAAGGCGGGCTGGCAGAACTCCATCCGCCACAACCTGTCGCTCAATGACTGCTTCAGGAAGGTTCCCCGCGATGACAGCGACCCAGGTGAGACCACCACGCCTCTGAGTGATCATCAATAACAGGAAGCAGGCTGTGATTGGCTGATTTACCAGACAATCAATAATAGATAATAATAAAGTCAGCACAGAGTTTCTGCCTCTGGTTGTTTCTGAGGTCGTACTCCCGTTATACTTGACCTTTACAAGTGCTGTTTGTTTCTGGACACTTAAAGTTCCTCAATTGTGTTTTTCTGTGTAGCTGCTGCTTCATTTCTTTAACGTTCCTCCTCCTCCTCCTCCTCCTCCTCCTCCTCCTCCTCCTCCTCCTCCTCCTCCTCCTCCTCCTCCTCTCTGCAGGTAAAGGAAACTACTGGACTCTGGATCCAAACTGTGAGAAGATGTTTGACAACGGGAACTTTCGCCGCAAGAGAAAGAGGAAGGCTGATAACGTGACCACTGGAAAGAAACCTTCCTCCTCCTCCTCCCCCTCATCTTCCTCCTCTTCCTCTGACTCCTCCTCGTCAGAGCCCAGTCCTAAAATTCCCAGCATACACTGCGGTGTCGCTGAGCTCGCTGTTCTCTCAGACACTCCCCCTGACTTCAGCAGCTTCCTGTCTCACCTCCAGGACTCCCTCCTCTTCCCTCCTCTTCCTCATGCTGACTCCCCCTCGCTGTACATGCAGGTACCGGACTACACCTCCCCCTCCTCCTCCTCCTCCTCAGGGATATGTCTCCTCTTACTCACCCGGCGCTGTGGTACCTCAGTGGGACGCCTGCAGCTCCTCACCTCCCCTCTACTCCTCCCCCCTCCTCCTCCTCCTCGCTTCCCCTCCTCCCAGTCGACTCCCCCAGACTTCGCCTCCCTCACCGCCCCTCATGCTGGCTCGCCGCCACTCTACGTCGACCTGCAGACGGCGTCCTGTCTCCTGCCGGAGCTCCAGGAGGCCCAGCAGCTGCAGCAGCTTCAGGCCCAGTGTGAGCCTCTGTTCTCGGGGGGCTTCGCTGAGGCTCTGCCCCTCGACTCTCTGGTTCTCGGGCAGTGAGAGCGCCACCCTGTGTTCACACTGAGGACTGATGTTTGTTGGGTTGAACTCAAACAGCCACAACGCACTGAATGTTTGTATTTATATTGTTTTTATTTTGGGGTGAATGTTTTTTTATGGTGTAAATATGAGTTGAATGTTTGTGTTTGGAATAAAAAAAGAAACAAATCA